AGACTCTGGATAAGGGTCTGGGTTGGAGCAGGGACAGGAGCATTTTCCAGACTCTGGATAAGGGTCTAGACTGGAGCAGGGCCAGGAGCATTTCTAAGACTCTAGATAACAGTTTGGGCTGGAGCAGGGCCAGGAGCATTTCTGAGACTCTGGATACCAGTTTGGGTTGGAGCAGGGCCAGGAGCACTTCCCAGACTTTGGATAAGGGTCTGGGCTGGAGTAGGGCCAGGAGCATCCCACAGCCTCTGGATAAAGGTCTGGGCTGGCACAGGGCTGGCAGCATCCTACAGCTTTGGGATAAGGGTCTGGACTGGAGCAGGACCAGGAGTATCCCCCAGCCCCTGGATAAGGGTCTGGGTTGGAGCAGGGCTGGAAACAGCCCTCATCCTAGGGTAGAGATTTGGGCTGGAACAGGACCAGGAGCATTCCCATGACTCTGGATAAGGGTCTGGGTTGGAGCAGGGCCAGGAGCATCCCACAGCCTCTGGATAAGGGTCTGGGCTGGCACAGGGCTGGCAGCATCCTACATCTTTGGGATAAGGATCTGGGCCTCTGGAATAAGTGTCTGGGTTGGAGCAGGACTGGGAGCATCCTCCAGCTTCCAGAAAAGGGTCCAAGCTGGAGTGGGACCAGGAGTATCCCTCGTTCTCTGGATAAAGATCTGGGCTGGAGCAGGACCCTGGCTTTGAACATCCAACCTGACTTGGAACACTTCCAGAGCTGGGACATCCACAGCCTCCCTGGATAACCTGTTCCAGTGTCTCACCACCCTCACAGGGAAGAATTTCTTCCCAATATCTCACCCAAATTTCCCTGCTTTCAATTTGTATCCATCATTCCTTGTCCTGTCACTACAGTTCCTGACAAAGCCTCAAGTCCCAGAAACTTCCAGGACGAGAGATTGGGTCAACTCCAAGGCCAGTTCAGTCCCAAAAACCTCCATGGATGGAGATTGTGTCAGCTCCAGGACCAGTCCAGTCCCAAAAACCTCCAAGGATGGAGATTGTGTCAGCTCCAGGACCAGTTCATCTCAGAAACCTCCAAAGGTGGAGATTGTGTCAACTCCAGGACCAGTTCATCTCAAAAACCTCCAAGGATGGAGATTGTGTCAGCTCCAGGACCAGTCCAGTCCCAAAAATCTCCATGGAGGGAGATTGTGTCAGCTCCAGGACCAATCCAGTCTCAAAAACCTCCAAGGATGGAGACTGTGTCAGCTCCAGGACCAGTCCAGTCCCAAAAACCTCCATGGGTGGAGATTGGGTCAACTCTGAGACCAACCCAGTTCCAAAAACCTCCAAGGATGGAAAATGCACCTTCTGGGAACTGACCCTAAACCTGCTTTGTTGGGGTTCCCTGGTGCAAAGGGATCCAGCTCCAGTATCACCTGAGGGTCCCAAAAACGTGGCAAAACATCCCCACGTCTCCCGTCAGTGGTGGTGGGAGATGTGGTGGGTCTGGGGAAGGACCACCCCTGAACCCCAGCTCTGGAATCATCTTGTCCCACTCCCCTCCACCTCCCAGGTCCCCACCTGGGCCCCTTACCCTGGCCATGGGCATCTTGTTGGCCTCCACATAGAAGTGGGGGGTCCGCACCTCGTACAGGGCTCCATAGTCCAGCTCCTGCCGGGAGAAATTCCCGAGGGAGTCAGCTGGGTGTGGGCAGGGGCTACAGGGGTGTGTGTGGTTGGATACAAGGGGGTTGGGGGGGGACCTAAAATCCCTTTGCGACTCACGGAATGAATCGAGTTGGAAAAGACCCCTGAGATCATTGGGAGACCCAACCCCACCTTGGCACCCAGCCTGTGGCACCGGCTGCCACGTCCAGGTTCTGCTTCAACACCCCCAGGGACTGGGACTTCACCCCCTCCCTGGGCAGCCCATCCCAAGGTCTGATCCCTCTCCCTGTAAAGAACTTCTTCCCCATGTCCAACCTAAACTCGTTGGAAGGGAGTTTTGGGGGGTGAGCGGAACGAGCTCGGCCGGTTCTGCTTGGGCTTCCCCCGGAATTCTGGAGGGTGGTGGAGCCGGGCACAGGGGTGCTGAACCTTCCCCCCCAGGAGCACTCACGGTGGTGCCCATCTTCTCCAGGGTCTCCTCGTTGATGGGGTAGCGCAGCTTCATCTTGCGGTACAGTGGGTGCTTCTCGTAGTAGCTGATGAGGTCCACCAGGCTCTCGAACTCGGCCGAGCTGCCCAGCATGAAGAGCCTCCCCTCCTGCTGGATCCGGCAGTGCTTGATCTTCCCCTCCGCCCTGGAGCCGGGACACGCGGTGGGGGATGTTTGAGGAGGGCCAGATCCCGGCTCCCGGCTCCACTGCGGTGACGGGCGGGCAGCGACACCACTGAGGCGACCGCCCCGAGGATGTCCCCGTGGGGAGGGCTTCGCGTATCCTGAGGTCTCAAGAGACTCGACTCAAGCACCTCAGGGCTCGGCCGAGCCCAGGAGGCTTGGTGGTGGCCGCACTCACCGGAAGGAGATGGCGTAGGAGTTGGGCTCGCCGCGCTTGCGCACCAGGAAGGCTCCGTCGCGCGGCACCCGCATCAAC